ATTTCTTACATCAATTAATGGTGTGAAATGCTTTGTTTTAGCACACGCGATATTGTTCTGTGGCGCGTCTGACGTGACCACCGCATGTTGGTTGCAATTTGCAGGTTCGGTCCGTCCGAGGCGAAATGTCACTACAACCACCCACGCCATCTAATTGTCCGTGCAATTTCGGCGAATACGTGCGAGTTCAGGTAATCTCGAAAGCCACACCCGTTCAATTTCGCGAATCGATTCGCAAATGAGTATTCCGTTTGCCTCGCTTCTCAAGGTAGCTTTTCCGGAAATCGTTTTCACCGATCAACTCAGTTGTCACGTTTCAGAATCCCCGGTTTCAACTCCGCGAACAGATCCTTAAAGATAATTTCATTCGCATATCGATTTAGTATCGCAGTACGTTTCGCGAGCTACTTCCCTGACGCACGCTGTAACCGCGTCTCTCCACCCGCCACTGCAGGCCGCCGTGCGCCACGCCGTTCCCACTCCCCGGACGGGTGCGAAGCTGCTGGGCGCCTCAACCACTCTCGCCACGTGCGATTTCGGCCCCACACGTAGCGCTCTCTGCTCCTCCCACCCCACACGCAGCGCTCTCTGCTGGGTGCCTCAAGCACTCTGCAGCTGCTGCTCCACTCGGGGACATGGAGTGCACACGCAGCAGCTGCTCTCCCCCCAACTCATCCACAGCTAAGCTAAGTCCCCGCCCTGCCTCTCTCCTCCCAACCCTCGTACTTGTGTTGCATTTCATGTCTCGCTTGCATGATACATCAAACTCCCTCATTTACTGCCGTCTGTCACACTCAAGAGACCTCCCTCCCCCAAGGTAGCAAGGTAGCAGGTACGTGCTCAGGTATTTGGTTTAGTGTGGTTCAGCTGGTATGAGGTCTCTTGGGTGTGCCACTGCAGCAGTCCATTCATGCTTGCATCATTTCTCCTTTCTCTGCTCCCACTTCGCTCACTCGTCCTTGCTTATTGCCTCACTGCCCTCCCTACTCCTCAATTCCCGTCCCCTACTCCCTTCCTCTCTCTGTCCCGACCTGCCCCCTCTCGTCCCAGCAGGTCTTTCACACGGGAGTGGCAGCGACGGGGGGACATGGAGTGCACAGGCAGCAGCTGCTCTCCACCCAACCCACCCACAGCTAAGTACCCCGCGCTTCCCCTCTTCTCCCAACCCTCGCACTGTGTTTCTTCGCTTGTCATGCTTGCACCATGCATTGCACTCCCTTTGTCACTGCTCTTTGTCACACCCATTAGACCTCCCTCCCCCAAGGTAGCAGGTATCTTTTTTATTGGTACAGCCTCAGGTATTTGTTTTAGTTTGGTTCAGCTGGTATGAGGTCTCTTGGGTGTGCCACTGCAGCAGTCCATTCATGCACGCATCATGCTTGCGCTTGCTGCACTCTTCACTTTCACTTGTCTTGGCTTGCTTGCTCTCTCCACTCCTCTGCGCCCCCTTCACTTCCTTATTTTCTCCTCCCCCCCCTCCCTACCTCTCTGTCCAGACCTGCCCCCTCTCAGACCAGCAGGTTTCTCACACAGGAGTGGCAGTGGCGGGGGACATGGAGTGCACAGGCAGCAGCTGCTCTCCAGCAAAACAGCCCACAGCTAAGTACCCCGCCCTTGCTGTCTTCTCCCAACCCTCGCACTATGTTGCTTTGCTTGTCATGTTTGCACCATGCATTGGACTCCCATTTTCACTGCTCTTTGTCACACCCATTAGACCTCCCTCCCCCAAGGTAGTAGGTATTTTTTTTTCTTGGTACAGCCTCAGGTATTTGTTTTAGTTTGGTTCAGCTGGTACGAGGTCTCTTGGGTGTGCCACTGCAGCAGTCCATTCATGCACGCATCATGCTTGCGCTTGCTGCACTCTTCACTTTCACTTGTCTTGGCTTCTAATCCTCACTGCTCTCCCCACTCCTCTTCGCCCCTTTCATTTCCCCATTTTCTCTCCCCCCCCTCCTCCTCCCTTCCTCTCTCTGTCCCGACCTGCCCCCTCTCGTCCCACCAGATCTCTCACACGGGAGTGGCAGTGGCTGGAGACATGGAGTGCACAGGCAGCAGCTGCTCTCCACCCAACCCACCCACAGCTAAGTACCCCGCCCTTCCTTGAAGTCTTCTCCCAACCCTCGCACTGTGTTGCTTTGCTTGTCATGCTTGCACCATGCACTGCACTACCTTTTTCACTGCTCTTTGTCACACCCATTAGACCTCCCTCCCCCAAGGTAGTAGGTATCTTTTTTCTTGGTACAGCCTCAGGTATTTGTTTTAGTTTGGTTCAGCTGGTACGAGGTCTCTTGGGTGTGCCACTGCAGCAGTCCATTCATGCACGCATCATGCTTGCGCTTGCTGCACCCTTCACATTGTTACCCCTAGCCGCTTACTCACTTGTCTTCAGTTTTCTCCTTGCAGGTGGAGGGGAGGGGCGTAGGGGTCAACACCGCCACTCCCCCACACCCCTCCCCTTGTGGCCATGCAGGTGGCAGTGATGGGAGGGAGGGGGGCAGCACTCCACTCGGCTGGGATGGGATGGGAGAGTATCGGGATGGGGTCGTCTGGAACAAGGTGAGCCTCTTTTCCCTCGTGCACTCATGCTGCTGCTTGGTCTTCTCCCCATGCTCACTTTTCTTTCTTGCTCTCTACCTGCCTTCCCGCTTCTCCCTGTCTCACTGCTGTCTCTTGATCCCTTGCCTCCCTTTCTCTCCCCTCCCTCTTCCCTCACCCCCAGAGCATTGAAGGCCTTGCAGGTACCCACGGGGATGGGAAGGAGGCAGCACGGCAGCGGACTGAACTTGGTGCTGCAAGGGAGAGTATCGGGTTGGGCTTGGCCCCTCAAGGTGCGTTAGCTCATGCCTTGGCCTCACCTTCCCCCTCCCTCAAGTTCACTCGCTGCAGCTGCTCCCTCTTCAATTCCACGTTCTCGTTTTTATCCACTTGAGTTTTCTTCTGTTTCCTTGCATGTTTCTGTTCATGCCAACTCACTAGCTCCTCCTGTTTTTCCTCTCCTGTCCTCACACTCTTCCATTTCCGCCCGCTACCAGGTCACTTGGCATCAAGAGAAGATTGCAGCAGAGGAAGCAGAGTAGCAGACCGGCAGCAGCAGTTGCAGCAGCAGAAGCGGTAAAGGCAGCAGCAGTGCAGCAGCAGAGGGGGGTGGGGGTCTAGAGGGCAGGCTAGGCTAGGTGCAGCTGCGGGGAGGTGTGGTAACAGGTGTGGCATGGTAAAAAGGTTAGGTATGGTATCAGGTGAGGTTTGGTAATCTGATCACCTCCTCTCTCTCTTTCTCTTCCCCCCTCCCCTGCAGCCCGAGGGTTGGAGCACTGGAGCAAGGGCGGGAGAGTGGAGTCCACCCTATCTCTCACCTCCTCCTCTCTCCCTTCTCCCTTCCCTCCCAGCAGCACCGTGGACCACAGAGGAGTCTCTCCCTCCCCTAATCCCCCCTTCTCTCTCCACTTCCCAGCAGCCTCAGCAACCACTTCTTGGTTTGCTTGCTGTTTGTTCCGCATGCTCATGCGCCCATCCCTGCTCTTGCTGCAAGCGGACACGCCTAGGGTTTCAACCACCTCCCCAGGTAACAGATGGTAGGTTCAGCCTAAGGTAGCAGGTGCGCTTCTCCTCAGGTACTTACAGCCCCAGGTCTGGTACCACGTGGTCAACACCCTCCGGAGTGTCCCCCTTGCAGCCAGAGCCCTCTCCCTTTGCACTTGCACTTGCTATTGCTCTGCTTGCTGTTTCCATCTTTCCCGTCCTTCCCTGCCTGCCTACTGACCAGCTCTGCGTGTGTGCCTTGCAGGTGGAGGGGAGGGGTGTTCGGGTCAACACCAACACTCCCCCGCACCCCTCCCCTTGTGGCCGTGCAGGTGGCAGTGGTGAAAGGGGACGGGGGCAGCAATCCACTCGGTTGGGATGGGATGGGAGAGTATCGGGATTGGGTCGTCTGCATTAAGGTGAGCCTCTTTTCCCAATGCTCACTTCCCTTTTTAGCTCCTTCCTGCCTTATCGCTTCCTCCTTCTCACTTCTGTCCCTTGCTTTCCTTCCTCCCACCCTCTCCCCTCCCACCCAGTGCATTGAAGGCTGTAGCAGGGCAGCAGGGGGGAGCAGGACAGCAGCAGCAGGGTAGGCAGCAGCGGAGGGGAGGGGATGGGCAGCGGCAGCAGCAGGGGAAGCAGAGTAGCAGACCGGCAGCAGCAGTAGCAGCAGTGGTGGAAAGGGGGATAGGCTAGGCTAGATGTAGCTCGGGTGAGGTATGGTAAGGTATGGTATGGTAACAGGTGTGGTATGGTTACAGGTGAGGTATGGTAAGCTGATCCCCTCCTCTCTCACCCCCCCTCTTCTCCCTGCAGGCTGAAGGTGGAAGCACTGGAGCAAGGGCGGGAGAGTGGAGTCCACCCTCTCACTCACCTCCTCCTCTCTCCCTTTTCCCTTCCCTCCAAGCAGCGCCCTGCCTGGACCACAGTGGAGTCCCGCCCTCCCCTAATCCCCCCCTCCACACTCCCCAGCAGCCTCAGCATCATGGCGCTCTGCACGGCTCTGGTAGGTACAGGTAAGCAGGCATGGGGGTGAAGCGTGTGGTGGGTAGGTGGTGGGCATGGGAGCAAGCGGGGAGTTCACTGCCTTAGGGGCAGCATCCTCTCATGGGGTGTGCCTTGTGAGTGGGGCGTGGTGGGTGGAATCTCCGCGGCACGGCACTCGGTGCTCTAGTTCCCGATCCGGCGTTTAAGGCTTAATGGACACCGTCAGAGCCGACCGGCCGGCGGCTCTGGTTCGCGTCAGCTCTAGCTACGTCAGGGGTGGGATTTGAGTCTTGGGCTGGAAGCGATTTTCCACTGCCACGCCTCTCCTCACAAGACGCAGCCTCTGCGGGTGTTGTTTCCGAAGAGGAGTGGGCTGTCTGCTGCTCCTACTGCTGGCTGTGGGGTGACCTCTTTTTATATCCTCCCTCCTCTGTATCCCTCCTCCTCTCTATCCTCCCTCCTCTCCTCCCTTCTCTTTGTTCTCCCTCCTCTCTATGCTCCATCCTCTCTGTCCTTCCTCCTCTCTATCCTCCCTCCTCTCCATTCTCCCTCCTCACTTCCTCCCTCCTCTGTATCCTCCTGTCTCTCTTTCCTCCCTTCTCTCTATCCTCCCCCATCTGTATCCTCCCTTCTTTCTATCATTCCTCCTCTGTATCCTCCCTCTATATCCTTCTTCCTCTCTATCCTCTCCTCTCTATCCTCCCTTCTTTGTATCCTCCCTCTGTATCCCCCCTCCTCTCTATCCCACCTCTTCTCTATCCTCCTCTCTATGCCCCCTCCTCTCTATCCTCCCTCCTCTCTATCCTCCCTTCCTCCTTCTGTACCCTTCCTCCTCTCTATCCTCCCCATCTGTCCTCCCTCCTCTCTATCCTCCCTCCTCTCCATCTTCCCTCCTTTCTATCCTCCCTCCTCTGTATTCTCCCTCCTCTGTATCCTCCCCCTCCGTTTTCTCCTTCCTCTGTATTCTCCCTCCTCTTTATCGTCTCTTTTTCGCCTCTCTCTGTTTGCCTCCCTCTTTATCCTCCACCTGTCTCCTCTCTCTGTTTCCCTCCTCACTATTCCCTCTGTCGCCTCTCTGTGTTGCATGAGAGCAAGATGCTCATGGTTGGTGGCACATGATGAGCCCTATGGTGCTGATGCCACCTTTGCCGTGATGTGTTCTGTGCCATGCTCTGTGCTGCGCCTTGCCCTGTGCTGTGCCTTGTTCTGTGCTGTGCCTTGCTCTGTATCATGCCATGCTCTGTGCTGTGCCTTGCTCTGTATCGTGCCATGCTCTGTGCTGTGCCGTGCTCTTTGCTGTTCCATGCTCTGTGCTGTTGCTGGGTGTGTGCTGCGCCAGCTGGAAGGTAGTGGCATCCTCTTTTTGACATTATAAATCTCAGTTGGTTTTTGTTTTTGTGAACATTGCTCCTCCCTGAATTCAGCTGATATAGGTTGCAGGGAATGATAAACAAGTACCATAGTAAATGGGAGGATTGTTCAAGCATGTGTAAACATTGTGTTTTCATCTTTTGCATGCATTTAGAATTCATTGATTTCTATGTCTGACTCTGTAACTTACCAATGGAGAGATACAAAGACTAACACACCTTTCATTTTTTGAAGCAGTTAATGTAGATGGAGATTCAGTTTTCATCACCTATTTGGAAGCATTATTTTGATCAAGGATTTCAACCTCATATGTTCTACTGAGGCCTAGTTTATTATACTGACTTGGGGGGGAGGGGGGGGGGGGGGGGGGGGGGGGGGGGGGGGGCGAGGGGGAATGGGGTGCGAGATGGGACGTCTGGTAGGGGATCCTGGTTGGGTTTTTTCTTTATAGAGTATTTTTATGGGGCTTTTTATGGGTGTTGCGTTTGAGTTGTTTCTGGTGTCTTTCTTTCCCGTTCCTCTCCTCTTGTGCGATGCTTTTCTTTGTAAAGAACAAAGAAGCGCCTTGTGTTTTTTTTAAAAAAAAAAAAAAAAAAAAAAAAAAAAAAAAAAAAAAAAAAAAAAAAAGAAGATATAATGCCCTCTCCCTCCTAATGCTATAAGCATTACTTGATTTGTGATTGAGTTATCCATGTGCAGACACATTTTGGAATCTCAGATACCGTATTTGGACTAGGTGTGATATTGAAGAACAGCTGTAACTACTATGATGACCACATTACAGAGCACAAGCCTGCTGTGTTGTAGGGAGAATTGGTACAAAGGAGTTCGGCAATACCAAAGGGTTTCATCCAGGGTTTCTTTCCCCCTCAACCCACTCTTTCTCCACTCCGCTTTTCGCTCGCAATCCATTTCCTCACTGAGATTTTCTTCCTCGACAGCAGCTGGCTGCCGTTCAGAAAATGGCCTGTCTGCGGTAACATGAGGAGGCCTTTGATTTAGCGCCGATCACTCAGAGCTTATTCTGAAGTCCAGCAGCCACAGTGACAACAGAGTGGAGGTGTTCGTTTAGTTCGTTGAATCCGTTTCCGCATTGCAGTGGCTGTTGCTGATGGACGAAGCGGCTCTTGATGATTTGATCGCGCGGCTGCTGGATGTGCGGAATGGACGGCCAGGAAAGCTCGTTCAATTGACTGAAGCAGAGATTCGGAATCTCTGCACCACTGCTAGAGACGTCTTTTTGCAGCAGCCCAACCTCCTGGAATTAGAAGCTCCGATTAAGATTTGCGGTCAGAATACCATCCTTTTGCTGCACGTAATGCTGCTTCGTCTTTTTCCTTCAGAGCTTTCGTGTGTCGGCAAGCGTAATCCGCCTCCTATTTCTTTTGGTTTGATTCTGGACTGCGTTCTTACAGTAGAGCTCATCACAGTTCCTTGGTCGCATTCTCTCCACCTTTCCTCAGGTGACATTCATGGCCAGTATTCGGACCTCTTGCGCCTCTTTGAATACGGCGGTTTCCCTCCGGAAGCTAACTATTTGTTTCTAGGAGACTACGTGGATCGAGGCAAGCAAAGCCTCGAGACCATCTGTCTGCTTCTGGCGTACAAGATCAAGTATCCCGAGAATTTCTTCTTGCTCCGAGGAAACCATGAATGCGCTTCCATAAATCGCATTTACGGCTTCTACGATGAGTGCAAGCGCAGGTATCTAATGGCGGGAGGCATTTCCCGACAATGTTATCCTTCTCTCGTTCCTTAGCATGACACTTCCGCTCCCCCTTACCCCCTGTGTGCTGTATGATTCAGTGTTAACCGTCTTTTGTTATTGTTTGTTAATTTAGGTACAACATTCGGCTGTGGAAAACTTTCACAGAGTGTTTCAACTGCCTTCCGGTAGCTGCGTTGATAGACGAGAAGATTCTCTGCATGCACGGCGGCCTCTCGCCCGACCTGCGGTCACTGGACCAGATCAAGAAGATCGGTCGTCCTACTGATGTACCAGACGCCGGTCTGCTGTGCGACCTGCTGTGGGCTGACCCTGACAAGGACATTCAAGGTTGGGGGGACAATGACCGGGGTGTGTCATACACGTTCGGCGCTGATGCTGTCACTGACTTCCTTGACCAGCACGACCTGGACCTAGTTTGCCGTGCTCATCAGGTACGCCTGTCGTGCGACCTTTTCTCTCAACCTGACTGCAGTTCTTTCTGTATATCAACCCCTTGCCCGCTCTGTCTCTTTGCCCATGTTGCTGCATTGCCTGTTTGACAATTTAAACTGCCATCCTCCCACCTTGTGCCGAGCACTCTCTTTCCTGCTGGTTCCAGTCTCGGAGCTTCATTCTCTGTGTTTTATGTCGCACCTGTGCTGTCTAAGTTTTATTTATTTTCAACCCTCGCTACTCGTGCTGCAGGTTGTGGAAGACGGTTACGAGTTTTTCGCCAAGCGCCAGCTTGTCACAGTCTTTTCTGCACCAAATTACTGTGGCGAGTTTGACAATGCCGGTGCCATGATGAGTGTAGACGAAAGCCTCATGTGTTCCTTTCAGATTCTTAAACCTGCTGAAAAGAAGCCCAAGTTTGGTTATGGGGCAGCAGGAGGGGCGCGTGGAGCAGGCCAACCACGAGGTGGACGGGTAAGGCCTTTGCTGGCTCGTGTTTCTCAGCAGACTCTTGTGCTTTTCGCTCGAGTCGTTATGTCGTGCCCTTTTACTTGTGCTCCTTCTCACCTTTAAATTCACCCCTTCCAATTCTCTGTATTTTCCTGGCTGATGTGCCCAGAGATGAGAGATGAATCCGCTTCCAAGGCGTGTGATCAATACTCACATTATATCGGCGTCAGTTTTGGGACTCCTGGTCCGTGCCGTGGACTACATTGAGCATGAGAAGTGCACGAGTGCCAAAAGGCGGCACTGGTTGCTTCTAAATCTTTCTCACCGTTGGGCTCATTTCGCCAGGAGGGTGAAGGTGCATGGGCGCACTCATGCAGCACCCTCATAGATATTGTTTCTGACATGCAGTTACTTTTGGTTCAGCAGCATGACATGTACAGTACAGTTCTGTAATTTGTTCACATCGCCAGGCTGTTGAGCATGATTCAATTCCAGTTACAATTGAAAAAGCTGTGGAAGGACAATGTAGCCCACCCTATAATAGAAGGGTTTCTTTCGTTAGTTCAAAATGCTTTGTGGCTCATTTTGCTTTGTACCTGTTGTGAAGAGAAGGTACAACTGTGCACGTATAATGAGTCGGGTTTCAGTGGATGCAGGCCAGACTCTGCGATGCCGTGGTGTTCCCTCAATACGGAGCAGTCAGCAGGGCATGATGAACGCGGGAATCTCTGAGGCGGTTCGGCCTTCCGCCAAGCGACAGGGTGCGATTCTGTCAGTCCAGCTTGTGAACTGCTTGGCGAAATATGCGACACAGGGATGCCACACACCGCGGGCAGTGTGGCGAAAAGCCCAAGGCCCGCGTCGGCACGGACCACAATGACAGTCAGTAGGAAGGCGGGCAGGATGAAAGGGGTCACTGAATGGAGCTTGTTCCCCGCTGGATCCAACCAAGCGAGCCTTCGGGCCCGCCTGCCCAGAATGCCATTCCACATCTGTTGGCAAACCTGCCCGACTACCACCACCATTTGATTCATGATCATCGGCACCCTCTCGAGCTTACTACCCGCTAACTATGTTTCAGTTTCTGCGTGCTTCCTTGGTATGCCTGCGAGCAAGCTACCGTTCAGAGCAGGCAACACCATGAACCTCCAGCAGACACCATCACAGCTCACTCGGCATCCCAAAAACATCATTCTCCGAATTAGATTGTTGACCAGCCGACGTCCCTGTGCTGTTGGTCATCGTGCTGGTCGTTTTCAACCGTCCACGCTGTGCGTTTAAGGTAGTATTTTCATTAACAACGCCGTCGAGAGAGTAAAGTCAACACTTTTTTTTTTCCGAGCCATGGTAACCATCGACACGACGCGTGTCGGCATTGCTAACGAGACTTTGACGTGTCGGCCATGTGATCATCAGCGCTGTGCTCTCCATTCGGACTCGCCCGATTTATAATTACGTCCACGCCATTCTCAACGCGCCTGCATGGTCCGCACAGTCCGACAATGTTTGCTTTCCAGCTCTAGCAGGATAGTCGCGGTTAATCACGTTTCCCATGCATTCGCACTGGCCTGATCTTCCACTCGTTCCAGTATAATGAGAGTAGCCCCCACAGAATACGATCGTCCTACGCACTGCCTGCACAGACTCTGCGGTAGAAAATTCTTAGCCTGAATTGCGCCTCGTGTGGTCTCTCTGACCCGTACCTAGCTCTAGTTGCACAAGCTGGTTTGTAGCTCGTAGCTCGTTGCCTGGTGATACCAAAGTCGCTTTGTTTAGGTCCGTGGAGTGTTTTTTCGTCCGCCAGATTTAGCTTCGCCTCCCACTTCGACTACCGCTGCCTCTTTTCCGCCATTTTCTCCTACTCCGGTTGAAGTAATATCCGAAACGTCCAATCAATCTACGGTCGGGTGGAGAGAGTCGTCCGCTCGACATGCCGCTCGCGCGTCGACACGTGGCGGCGGAGGAGAGCTTGGCATCACCGAGCGTTCTCCGCGCAGCCAGCAGTGATGACCCGCGGGGGATGCTGGAGGGCGTGTCCATGGCGTGCCTCGTGGGCCTCGTGAAGCAACTGGCTCTCCTATCAGAGTACGCACGTCCTCCTCCTTCCACTCCGCGCATCGACCAACTATCCACCTGCGATCCACCAACAAAACAATTCCCTGCTATACGTCTCATCCCTTCCACAACATCCCCTTCCCTGCCCGCCTCCCCTGTTATCGTTCCCGTGTCTCAATAAAGTTGCTCTGATCCTCTCTGTTGCGCCGACGCTGCCACTCTCTCTCTGCGCCATGCAGCCACGCCTCGCGTGTGTTCGAGGGTCTCGCGGCGGACCTAGCGGAGGTGGCGTCGCGGCGGGAGCAGGTGGCAGCGCGGGCGCGGGGAATAGAGTCGGTGGTGGGGCGGATAGAGGAGCGCATTCTCAAGGACAGCCACCCGCTCGCACTTGCGTACACGCCAGGTAACGTTGCTACGACAAGGAAAGCAGTAAATTTGAGGGAGATCCGATTTGGTGAAAGCACTATTCGTTTGCTGAGCATGTTTACTTGATTGCAAAGCATTGCCTTAGAGTTCTGCCCCCGTCGCGTAAGGTTTTGCGACTGCCGTCACATGATGGTATATCGCTCACCCAAAAATTGCTGCGTTCCGTTCCGCCTGCGTTCCTCCTCCAGGCGTGCGATGGCGCGCGCACGTGCCGACGGCGCAACGGGTGCTGCTGTCCGCCGACCGCCCGCTCGTCATCGTCACCGCGTACCAGAACGCCGCGCCCGCGCCCCCCCTGCATCGCCTTCACAGGTACGGCGACCGTGGGGCACATGTGCGCATGGGATCTGCTTAGTATCACGCGTGGGTGAGTCTAAGCCCCAGGGACGCTGTGAGCCTGTGAGCAGCTGCGTGCGAGAATCGTTCTGTTCGGTATAGCTCCGTCCGCTGACCAAGTCTCGCTACCGAGACCTGCGGTTTTTGGATTTACTTGTCCCGTTCGCCGTAACTCCGTCGCCTCCTGTGCTGCATCTCCTCACCTCGGCACTCGAATATCTGAAGATCCTGATCGTCGTCAATCTCTTCCCCTCCCTTCCTCTCGTCTTGTCCCCTCCGCTCCCCTTTCCGCCCTTCCCGCAGGCTGTTGCCCTCACCGGCGGGAGATCTTGCGGAAGGGGAAGATAGTGGCTGTGGGACCAGGGCGGTGCGGGAAACGGGGGGTGACTGGCGCGCATGCGATGACGCGGAGAGACGAGGGGAAGAAACTGCAGGCGAGGGGAGCGATGGAGCTGGCGCCATTGAAGGCGGGGACTCCCGAGCCGCGCGGGCGGCGGAAATCCTGCTGCAGTTGGTATGTGTGTGTGGCGGGAAATGGGAAGCGGCATGGAGAGAATTGTTAAGAGAGGACGGAAAGCGAGGGAAAAGCGAGGGGGAAGGAGGGGTATGAGGGTGGATAGCTAGTGTGTGCGTTAAGGTAATCGAGGGTATGGATGGAGGCGAAAGCGAGAACTAGATTTCCTGGACGAGCTAGTGCAGGCGAAGTGGCGCATCGATTCTAGTCCCCGCTTTTTCCTGTTCCCCGACTACCTGCTTTTTCCGGTTCCCCCCTTCTCATCCCCCACACACCCCCTTCCCCGCTTAACATCCCTTCTAGCGCACATAGCATGCTGGAACCTCATTGATTTAACAGTTTACCGGCTTTATGCGTACCGTTTTCTTCCTCCTTTCTTTCCTCGCTTGCGTCCTCCCTCTCACCCCGTGGCCGCACGTCACCTCCCTCTACTCTCACTCCTTGCTCCATCAGGGGCCCCAGTCACCCCCGGATGCCTCGACGTGGATGGCCGCGCGACTGCTCCGCGCCTCACTTCTTGCGCCATCCGAGGAGAGCAGAGCGGAGAGAGGAGACCGCGAGCACTGGAATGGTGATGACGTGGACGAGGGGTTGTGTCGGGGAGACGCAGGAGAGGGGAGAGATGGGGAAACAATCAGGGAAAGTAGCTCTGAAGCACAGGCAGGGGAGAATGGGGGTTATGATGAGGCTGGGAGATGGATCGAGGGAGCAGGGAGAGAGGAGTTACAGCGTGCATTTGAGACCGATCACTGGGCCGAGGAGGAAGGGCATGGAGAGGAACGTGTAACGCGTGGGGAGCGTGAGAAGGAAGTGAGGAAGGAAGAGGGGGGTTTGGCAACGAGTGGGAGGGGAGAGGAGGGAAAGGCGAGCGACAGGCCATCGCTGGGGTGGTTGGATGCGGGAGACGGGTTGGAATTCGATGTGACGCAATTCGTGCGAGTGTTGGAGGAGGAAGGCGCGGAGGACGCAGAGGAGCACGTGCAAGGTGCCCATGAGTCGCCTCGTACCACACCTAGGGCGCATACCCGCGATAGGAGAGCGGAACGGCAGCAAGGGCAGGGAGAGGAGGTTGTGCAAGGGAAGGTGGAGGTGCAGGATGGTATTGGAGAAGGGGAGATGGCAGGTAGCGGGAGGGAGGAGGTGGAGGAGGAGGAGGCAAAGGGTGAGGGGCAAGAGGTGCGCTTGCGTTCGAGTGGGGACTGGCACTCCAGCGATGGGAGTGAGACGTTGGACGAGGGCGAGAAAGGCGCGTTGGATGCGCATGTTGAAAGGGAGGAAGCAGCCCAAGTGGACTCTGACGAGGACGATGCTGACGGGATGGACGATGAGGATGGGCAAGGAACGTCAGCTGGGGATGGGGAGGCAGTGGGGAAGATCGGGCTTGGAGCAACGGAGCAGCAGCAGCTTGACAAGGCGAGAGAATTGAATGAGCCAGGCGCTTCTCAGCAGCTTGACCACTTGCAGCAGGAGGAGCAGCGAGAGGAAGAGCAGGAGCAGGAGGAAGTGCATGGGGAGGGTGCGGGAGACGGCGGCACAGCAGCGGTACCTGCTGGTCGATCAGCTCAGGTTCACTCGTCTTCATCCAAAGAAGCACTGGCTCTCCACACCCCACACTCCATCTCCACCTCACCCACCCCATCCTCGCCCAACCCACGAACGTCTGTTACCAGCGGAGCTGCAGCAGCGTCCCCCTGCTCCTCCGCGTCCTCGTGCTCATCTGTATCTGGTCGCTCCATGTCTCACTCCGTGTCTAAGTCACTCAAGGACTTGTCCGTGCTGCAGCAGAAGCTGAGGGCGCAGAGGGGTGATGTGCAGCGACTGGCGGCTGACAGCATGCAGCTGCAGCAGTGGCTGGGCCTGCAACCGCACCAAGTGCTGCTCTCGCCTTCTGCCTCTCCAAGCACCTCTGCTGCTGCTGCTGCTGCTGCTGCTGCTGCTGCTGCCACTGCGTTCGCCCCGTCTGATTCTGCTGTTTCTGCTCCGTCTGATTCTCTCTCCAGCGGACACCAGCACGGCAAGCAGCCTTCTGGCACTGCCGAGAGCTTCAGCACAGGTGCTGGAGCTAGTTCCAGCAGCACCGGCAGCAGCAGCTGCAGTGTTGCTGACAGCGGTGGCGGCGGGGACGGTGGTGGCGGCGATGGGGCGAGCAGTTCAGCTAGTGGTGGTTCGACGAGCGGTGGTGGGTGTGGGGCGAGCAGCAGCAGCCTCGCAAGCAGGCCACGGCGATTCAGCTTAGGCTCAGCGGCAATGGGGGCAGGAGGAGGAACGGCAGGGGCGGCTTCTGCAGCAGCGTTGGCAGCAGCAGTGGCGGCAGCAGGAGGGAACCCTGTGGCGGTGGTGGTGCGCAGGGAGAGAGACGCGGCTGCCTCGCTCTCTGTGACGGCTGCTAGCAGCGGTGAACCTTTGGCCGGTGCTGCTGATTCTGATACTGATGTTGATGGTGCTGCGGCTGTATCCGAAGCACTGGACTTGGATGGGGGCAGGTCACATGCAGGGTACAGTGGGGAGCATAGCTCGTCTGTGAAGCAGAGTGAGGGCACGCAGCTGAGCCAGGAGGGAGTTGGACCAGTTCTCCAGAAGCAGCAGCAGCAGGAGGAGGAGGAGGAGGAGGAGCAGCAGCAGCAGCAGCAGCGGGAAGGAGTTACAGAAACATGGAGGGCGGAGAGGAGGGGTTGAGGTGATAAGGCGTAGCGCGTCTCTGCCTGCTGTCTTCCAAGAGCCAGACAAGGCCGAGCAACCACGCGTACAGGAGAACGAGCAGGGGCATGCGCAGAAGGGCGAGGGCGAGGGCGAGGGTGAGAATAGAGCCAGTCAGGGCAGCAAGGCGCAGGTGTCCCCTCCCCATCGTGCTCTTCCCCATGCTCACTCCTTTGCTGCTGCCTCTGCTGCGTCTCCCTTCTTTCTGCCCCACCCACTCGCCCCCTCTTCTCCCCCTCAACTGCCCTCTGCTGCCTCAGCTGCAGTGGCAGAGACACATGAGAAGGAGGCGGTTGAATCTGCTGATGCTGCTGCCTCTATTCACCCTGGTGCAAGGAACAGGGATATGCCGCCTGTTAACTCCTCTACCCTGGATTACCCAGATCCACCTGCGTCCCAACCAATGGGCTCTCATAGCCCTGCTCCCCTTATTGTCCCTTCCCCCTCCATCTCCTCCACCTCCTCCGCCTCCTCCTCCTCGGCCTCTGCCCCTGTTCCCCCCTCTGCCACCTCTGCCCGTACCCGCCTATCCGCTTCCCCACAAACCGCTGCCTCTGCACATTCCTCCCCATCTGCCTCTTCTTCCTCCACCGCCCACTCCTCTCCCTCCCCCTCCACCTCTCGCCTCTCTGCCTCTGTTGCCTCCTCTACTCGCTCGCCCTCCTCTTCCTCCTCCGCCTCCCCCTCCCCCTCCTCCTCCTGCTCCTCGTCTTCCTCCTCCTCCCTGCTTCCCTCTTCCACCTCTCGCTCTCAGGCCTCCATACACACTCCCTCTCACCCCCGCAGTCGCACTCACTCCCTCGCTTCCCCTTCCTCGCCCTCTATCCTTCCCGTCTCGTCCCTCTCAACTGTCTCCCACGGCAAAGCCCGCTCCTCCCACCAGCACACTACTACTCCGCACTCGCCCACCACAAGCTCCAGCCGCCAGCGTACAGTGCCACACTCCCCCGATAGGACCACCGCTCACATCCCCAGCTCTGTCCTCTTGCCTGTGGATACCAATGCCACGGGTACTGTGTCTGCTGCTACTGCTGCCCCCCTGCTATGTGGCTCCACACCCAACGCACCTCCTCGCACCTCCATGCCCTCCAGTTTTCCAGCAGACCCCGCCTCTGGCGTCTCAGCTGCGCTCACTTCGCCCTCCACCCGCCAACCCATGCCTATGCTCTCCCCGCCCTTCTCTGCTGTGCCAGCTGCTCCTGGTAGCTCGTCAGCAGTGCCTCTCACCTCCACCCGCGGCAGTAGTGGCACACTCACAGGGAAGCCAGCCCCTGCTTCACTCACCCTCCTCCCGCATGCCCAACCTCCCTCCTCTCCCCCCCGCCACCCTGCTAGCTCGCCCTCCGCTGCTGCAGCCACCAGCAGCACCATACCCGCCTCTCCCAACACCACTCCCAGCTCTTCGCTCAGAATCACCTCTCCTCCCCCGTTGCTCTCCACTCCTCCCTTTACCTCCGCCCTCCGCTCCCCTCACGCCATTGCTAAGGCCCGTGCTCGTGCCCTAGCGCTCGCCAACTCCCTCTCACTAGACCCTCCGGCTCCGCCTGCTTCTACTGCTGCTGCTGCTCCTGCTGCTGCCGCTGCCGCTTCTGCTTCTGCTGCTGGCCCCAGCAGCAGCAGTAACAGCAAGCACACACACCCCAACGCGCACACCCACGGCAGCAGCACCAAAGCCCCCCCTACCAGCCCCTCAGAAGCTCGCTCTCGCAGCCCTGTTTCCCGCCGCACCTACCATCGGCACCGCAAGTCCCCCCCTGCCTCCCCCCGCGCCCTGCGCTCCCCCGCACACCCTGTTTCGCCCCAGCATGATGTGGGCGGAGGAGGGAGGAGGAGCAGGGTGGGGGGGAAGAGGGGTGGCCCATCTGGGCAGAGATCAGGGGAATGGATGGGGTGGGAGGAGAGGGAGGGAGAGGAGGGTGCTTGGTCTAATGCTACTGAGATGGCACGAGCGCAAAGTGAGCAGTGGGAGAGAGAGAGGGTGAGAGGGAGTGGAGCAGGGGCAGCAGGGAAGAGAAGGGATTTGGGAGTGAATGTGGGGGCTGGCAGGCGGGTGAGTGGTGCAGGCGAGAGGGAGAGAGATGGGGATGGTGGAGCGGAGGGGCAGAGGCAGCAGCTGAAGAAGCAGCAAAGTGGTGACTTGGAGGTGGTCGGCATAGGGAAGGGGCACATGGAGAGCATGCGAGATGGTGGTAGAGAGCACACAGGAAAGAGGAGAGACGAGAAGTTGCAGCAGGTGCAGCAGGTGCAGCAGGCCAATGGGCATGAGAACAAGAGAGAGCCTTTGGTTATTGATGTCAAACCCTCTCGCATGGCTGCTCGCCTCCCATCCCCATCTTCCCTCGCACACACCTCACCCAAACCCCACACCTCAACAGCCTCGCATTCCTCTCCTCAACCATACCCGTCTTCACAATCTTACCCGTCCTCCTCCTCACAGCCCCAGTCCCTCGTGCCCCCTCGCTCCCTCCCCTCGCCCCCGAACCAACTCCCTACCAGAGACCCCAGCCCCAGCCCTCGTTCTCTGTACCCGCCAGCTCCCCCCTCCCCCTCCTCCGCCTCTGCTGTCTCCCTCTCCTCCTCCTTCATCCGCCGCTTGCCCAGCCCCAGAGCCCTCCCAGGAGCACCTACCCTCGCGTCTTCCTTTGCTGCAGCCGCTCCTGCTGCTGCTGGAAGTGCAGTGCCCGCAGCAACATCAACCCAGTTTTCCCCCGCCCTTGTCTCTCCCCATGCTGGCTCCTCCCTGCTGCCTTTGGCAAGCCCAAGCTACTCACACACGCCTCCTTCTTCCCTCAACCATTCCTCCTCTGCTGCTCCACCTTCCTCTTCCCACTCCTCGCACTTCTCTACCAGCCACCCCAGGCCTCTCGCTTCCACCAGCAAGGGCCCTGATTTTTCCACACCTGCTGCCACAGTCGCAGGGGCGGGTCTGAGAAGTGGAGTCAGCTCAGTGGGTGCGTCTGGTGCAGGTGGCAAGTGGGCAGGCAGTGGCGGCAGTTATCGCAGCAGTGACGGGCACACCCCAGGGAGTGTACAGTCGCATGGTGTAGGGATGAGGGGTGGTGTGGGCAGTAGCAGCAACGACAGGGTCTCTGGCAGTGGCGGCGGTTTTAGCCAGGGTAAACTCTCGGTGCATGTCGATGGGGGCCCGGTCCCTGCTCAGCCACCTTCGAGCCCCCTCTCTCAAATCAAAGCAGCTGCCAGAAGTCTCTCCCCTCTCCGACTGGTGAGCTCCGACTCTTCTTGCACTTTCCATTCTGGTTGCAGCCTTTGTGCATAATGGTTTCATGCTTTTGACATGCTCGCCATGTGCTTACTCTTTGCCCATGCCTTGTGCTCTATGGCTTCTCCAAATGTTACGCTGCAGCATGCAAATGGGCGGGCTTCTGAGCAGGAAAGAAGAAGAATGCCAATTCGCCTCTTTTCACCCTCTTGAACTTGGCTGGGCAGTCGTATGTGAAGCCAGGCATGCTCAAGTTTGGTAATGCAGAAATGCAAGTGACCTAATTAGGTTTATGTTGATTGAGTTTTGGAGCCTTGTTGTAGTGGTATTTACTAAGGGCCCACATAGTCATAGTGGGAACTTCACGTTGTAAGGGGTGTTTATCTATTGCTGAAGCGGATTATTCTTGGTGAGACGTGAGCGTAGGCTGTGGCGTAGGCTGTGTGCGTAGGCTGTGTGCAGAGAAGACGATGACGTCAACATGCACTCTGGTCAGGGTTGATTGTTGTGGTGGGTGCGCCACCACATCAATCGCACAAGCAGCGATTTGGGGGCTCATGTTCACATTCGAAGTCGATATCGTCGTTTGTCTCGTATCATTGTTTTTCTCGTTGAAACCATGGCACCAGCCCTCACCTTAGAGCTGTCGCAGGGGCATGGCGCCGTGGTGCTGGTGGCAGTGGCAACAGGAATCCTTAACTTTTGGATGAGTGCAGGCGTGATGTCAGCGAGGAAGAAGTAAGGATGCTGGCGATGGGTGATGTATTCACTGTCTGCGGGTCTGCTGAACCTTGCTTACTACCTTTTTTTGCCGCGTATCGTATGGTTACAGGTACAACATTCAGTACCCGATTCTGTACGCACCGGAGTCTCACAAGAACGCCAAGGAGTTCAACTGCGTGCAGGTGCGATATCCGTGGACACCTTTGCCATCGCGAAATGTGCACCCGCTCGACCATTCTACCCCTGTTGAAAAACCAATTTAATTATTCGGCAGTGGAGGATGTGCTGTTCTTTAGTTGTTATTATGCCTCCCCTGTCGTGCACCGCAGAGGGCGCATCAGAACACCCTTGAGGTTCTTCCGTCTTTCCTTGTGTTCCTCGTCATTAGCGGCGTTGCGGTAAGCTTTCCTTGTCTACCAATAGCTCTGCCCCCACATACCATGTGCAGAGTGCCATTCCTTACGTCCTTTGTCACGTCACCACGCCCTCACCACCTGCTTGCGTCGTAACTTTGCCTTTTCCTTTTCACCTATCACAGTACCCGTGGACATCCACTGTGCTTGGGGTTGTTTTCCTGCTTGGGCGAATTGGCTACTTCCTTGGTTACTCCACTGGCAGGCCTGAGGCTCGTTACAATGGAGGGTAAGTCTCCCCTCCCGATGTGCTCAGAGCACCTTCTTCCTCCCCCTTTCCCTATCTTGCTTCCCTTGTTCGCTCTCCCCCCTTCCCCCGTTCTCGTGTTGTCCCCTCCATTTCTGCACCTCCCTTTTCCCACCTCTTGGTTTTGCTCCTAGGTCTCGGGAGGTAGCATTTCCATAACCCACTTGCCTTTCACACTTGTTGCTCGAACTTGGCAGATTTTGGATGATTGGATTTTTGGGCCTCATGGTCAGCAACATAATCTTTGGCGTTACGATCCTCGGTGTCCTTCAACACAAGGTGTAGATAGCGCATGGTTTTATTGGTGAACGGTGGAAACGTATCATAGCGTGAACATATCTTGTAGTAGGAAATGTGGCCAGCAATGATGTAATGCGGAGATTAGCTTACAATAAAGAAGATCGGGATGTTTGCTGTAAGGCTCGTTGGAGCACTTCCAGAACTGATAGGTGATCTCGTAGTGAAATCCACCGAAGCCTCAAAAAGGGGGACGAATCCAACTAGTTCGAGGACCAGCCTGACAGCCAACCAGGTACGGCCACCAAGATAACCAAAGCATCCCCCAGAATCTTTGAACCAATAACAGCAAAGAGCGAGCGGGCTCTTGCCAATCGATCGAGTCGCAATTGTTCTTGTCAGGCTGGCAACGATCGGCTGGCGTTGCTTCCAACTGCGCCGCGCTGTCGCCCCCTGCCACTGCCTCCTCCTTGGACTCTCTAGAGCAGTCCCTTGTCCACCCACCCGCACCTGCCAGTCTCCCGTGCCGGGACACCCCAGAGCAGTTACCCCTGCCCCCTTTTTCTCAGTTCCGCCCCCTGTTATCCACTCTTCCCCTCGCCCCGCACCTCATCCACATTCCCAGGACTCCTCCCGACTCGGTTCCCTGATCCTGGCTGTCAGCCCATTCTAGATTTTGCCGTGCTTCCACCAATGTCACGTCAATCAGCAGCAGCATTGTTCCGCACAGACTTGGCTGGCCCGTAAGCCATTCCCCTGTTATCCGTGCTTAGAATTGGCTTGGGGACTCTGGTCCTCTGCAGTCCAGCGCTAGCGGCGCCGCACATTAAGCGCTTTAAACAGGAAACATCAAATTGTGATAAGGCTGCAATTTTTCACTCACTAACCGCGTGAGCAATGTCGTCAACCAGTTACAATCTCGGCATCGCCGAGGTCGCGCGGTCGCACGCTGCGCCGCCGCACTCGTCGCTTATCGTCCGATCGTCCTCCCTGGGCGCATCCAACATGCACCCCCTCTCCACCTCCCGCAGCCCCTTCCTCTCCGGAACAACCCCCGGCGCAGCACTCCGCGCGCGCCGAAACGGTGGAGCGGCAGCCGCGGCTGGCCCGGTGAAGGTCGAGGGGAACCTGTGGGACGACCTGCAGCGCGCGGCGACGGGCAAGGATGCGGGGAAGGCGGACGACCTCGACAAGGGGAAGAAGAAGTATGGCCGCGAGACCGTGCAGTACAAGCCGAACCGCACAGTGGCCGGGCGGAAGAGCGCGGGGAGCGCAGCTTCCGGCGGCGGAACCACCTTCCTTAGCAGGTCCCCCAGCGCCTCCGCGCGCAAGGGCACACAGTACGCCGTGCGCGGGCCTGCGGGGAAGTCAAGCGGAGGCACGCAGCTGGTCGTGCTGGGGGGGAAGGGCAAGGACAAGGGGAAGGGGGCGCGCAACGGGAACGGGGAGGGCGGAACTCAGAAGCTGCTGGCGGAAGTGACGTCGGGCCTGGGACTATCGCTGGGCGGCAGCGGCGGCGCGCAGAGGGACGGCAAACTGGTGTTCGTGGTGGGGGCTGGCAGCAGCGTGGGCGCCGCCACTGTGAGGTGAGGGGCCGATGCCATGAGGAGGGGGGGAGGAGTTACGGGACAGGCGGGATGGGGGAAGGGATGGGCGTGGGGATGGAGGTGGTGGTGGGGATGAGCACGGGAATGGGGGAGGGAGGAAACAGTGGAAAAACTAACGGGTGGGATGGGGTTGGTTTGAGGAATGGGGCAGAGGGTGGGAGAAATGAAACGGGATGCAAGAACAAGGCACGGTAGTCATTGCCCATGTCATGTTTGGCACCTCCTGCACGCGCGATTCTTGATGAAGGCTGCACGCCTCTCCACGTTGACACGAATCCCCCCACCCCCCCATCCTCCGCCGATCCCCCGTGCCAGGGAGCTCGTGCGCCTGGGGTACCGCGTGCGCGTGCCGGCCAACGAGGCGGACGCCGCCCAACCGCTGCTCGCTGACGTGAGTTGCCGCCGCGGGGCCGCCGCACTTTCGCCAGCCGTCCGCGTCATTTCGTTTCCGCTTAGTTGCCTCCTATCCATGTCTTACTTCTTCTCTCCACCCTGCTCTACGCCCTTTGCGCTGCGCCCTCTTTATTCCTCTCCCTTCGTGCGCGCCGTTCATCCTCCCTGCCTCCCGCCTTGTGCCGCCATTGGTTATGCTGCACGCGTCTCACCCCCCATCTCCGTCTGTGGCGTGTGTGTGTCCTGACTGCATGTGTATTGATGATGGGTCTGATCTCATGTGCATGTGCCTGTGCCTGTGTGTGTATGTGTGTGCATTTGTGCGCGCGTACGCATGCACATGGGGCCGCCGCTACAGCTACCCGAGCCGCCCAAGGGTCTCCTTGACGTACGTTACACTCCTTGCCCTCCGCCACTTCCGCTTCTTCCATTCCTTAGCTCCCAATGTCGCTGAATAAAAGGAATGGAGAGAACGGATTAAAAATCTAATTCCGCAATTTGACCTTCTCCTACCTTCACGATCCCTCTCGTCACTCCGCCCCTCTCTCGCACCTGCCGCCACGTGTCTCCTCTTTCGGCGCCACATGCTACTATCCGTCCTCCCCTTGCCCATCATCATTCCCTCCTCCCCCCTCTCGTTCCCCCCCCTTCCCCGCCGCCCGCGCAGATGTTTCTCCCCGGCGGCGGCGCCAGTCTCCCCGCGGTGGAGTACGCGGAGGCGCTGGGCGCGTGGCCGCTGGGCGCGGGGGTGATCGGCGCGGAGGACGCCATGCGCGGCGTGGGGAGCGTCGTGTGCGTCGCGGATAGCCTTGAGACTAGCGTCATCAAAGCGGGTAAATGCGGGGAGCGGGGAGCGGGGTGGAAGGGGGGAGGGGGGGAAGGTGGGGAGGGATGCGCGGGAGAGTTGGGGGTGCTGTGGCTGGTGTATGGTACGGTGGTACCAGCTTTCCCCTCTCACTCCTCCCCACCCCTCGTACCTCTCTCATTCTGTCAACTCGCTCGCCTCCTGTGCGGCTCTCCCCTTCTCCCCCTCTCTTCCCGCGCCCCATTCCCCCCGCCTCTCTTCCCCACCTCGTCCCCTCCCCTCAATCACTGCAGCGGAGGAGTTGCAGGCGCGGCGCTTCGTCCTCGTGCTACCGCCCATCAACAACCCCCTCGCCAAGTAACCTCGCCTGCTACCCTCCCTTTCCCCTTGCTACCGTCTTTCCGGCCTTAGCTCTCTACCCAATCGCGCCTTCACGACTTCCCCTGTCTACCCCTTTGCATCCCCTCGACCCGCCATGGCGTGGGATATCATGGAGCATTTACCCGTTCTCGTCCTTGTGCGCTGCTTCCTTTTAACCGGAAAAGCCTACATGATTCCTGGTAAATGTCAAGCCTTCACCAGTACGCCTGCATAAAATAGCATCCCCACCACGCTGTAACCGTCTCAACCGAACCACACCTTTCCAAACACCCGCCTCTCTGTCTGTCCGCTTCCTCTGCATGCCCACCCACCCACCCACCCACCCCCGCCCGTCCACCGTGCTGCCCGCCAGGCTGTTTGAAGCGGCGTCGTGGCAGGCCAAGGCGGAGCAAGCCCTTGCTGACTCCGCCCTCGACTTCACTGTACGGCCCCCCTCCCCTCTCCTCCCCCTTCCGCCCTTCCTGTCCCCCCCTCTCCCCCTGCCCTCCCCTGCCCTCCCCTGCCCTCCCCTGCCCTCCCCTGCCCTCCCCTGCCCTCCCCTGCCCTCCCCTGCCCTCCCCTGCCCTCCCCTGCCCTGCCCTCCCCTGCCCTCCCCTGCCCTGCCCTCCCCTGCCCTCCCCTGCCCTGCCCTCCCCTGCCCTCCCCTGCCCTGCCCTCCCCTGCCCTCCCCTGCCCTGCCCTCCCCTGCCCTCCCCTGCCCGTCCCCCTACATCTTTCTTTGTTCACAACCCAGCTGCCTCGGTCCTCTCTTGCTTCCACCGTGCCATCTCTCAATCCATTCCCATACCACTCTCGCATCGCATCAACTTCCCCCTCCCCATTTCCCTTTCCACTTGCCCTTTCCCCCCACGACTCCCCCGCTCCCCCTTCCGCAACCCTAGGTCGTCCGCACGCCTGCCATTGTGGAATCTCTCCCAACAGACTCCGCCGCCCCTACCCCCTCCGCGCCTGCTGACTCCGCCTCTCCCTCCGCGTCCCCCTCCTCCCCCGACGCTCCCCCCGCGGCCTCCCCCCGCGTGGCGCTGCGCCTGGGCCCCAACGCGCGCGGATCCATCACAGAAGGCTGGCCCTCTGGCGCTATCTCGCAGAAACAGGTGCGGGGGGGACCGGGGGGGGGGGGGGGGGGAAGGAGTAGCAGAGAAGGGGAGGGGGGACGAGGGGGCGGGGAGGGGTGAGAGGTATGGGAAGGAGAAGAGCTGAAAGGTGAAAGGATTTGGGAGACATGCAAATAGCAAAAGCTGGATATGTTTTAACACGGACCACGAAATTTTAAAGAAGCCGTTTAAGGTGGGATAATGTTTGAGGGACCTGTTTGTTAGACATTAGAGGTGCTGCTAAAACCTGTCAGAGTATAGAGACTGTGCAGACTAGCCGATCACAGCGAATCTGCATGATACTGACTAGCTGGGTGACAGACGCCTATATGCCCTTGCATGCCAGCCATCACACGTCTCCTATCCTATACATGTGCGCGCGACTGGGCCGCAGCATCCCCACCTCACACCACCCATCTCTCATCACCAATCTCTCAACTCCCATCTCCCCACGCCATGCATTCTCTCCCGTGCCATTCGTGCACCTGCACCTGCCCGCGCCTGCCACTGGGCCCCTGTGTGTGAGGAGAGCAGGTGGCGAGGGTGGTGGCGGGGGTGCTGAAGGAGGGCTCCCCGCGACTCAAGCGCCAAGTGGTGGACCCCCATCCCCCACGTCCCATCCTCGCCCCATCTCTCTTCCAACTCCCCACACCATCCATTCTCGCCTGTGCCTGCTGCCCCCCATCCGTGCACCTGCACCTGCCATGGCCTGCCCTTCCCCTGTGAGGAGAGCAGGTGGCGAGGGTGGTGGCGGGGGTGCTGAAGGAGGGCTCCCCGCGACTCAAGCGCCAAGTCGTGGACGCCGTGGTGCAGCCGTCCGCGTCCCCCCAGCCCTCCGTCTCCGCGCTCATTGACTCTGCGCTCTCCCAGGCCGCCGCTGCTGCTAAGGCTGCTGCCAAGCCTGCGTCTGCTGAGGTGAGCGGTGGTGTAGGTAGGTCTCTCACTGTGGGGGGGGGCGCGGGTAATATTGGTAAATGGGTAGAGGATGGAGGAGAATGTGGCTCTTTCATGGTACTTTCATGGACAGGTCAGGGTACTTGTGCATGCAGGGCAGTTCTGGTAGTTTCCACATGGGGTGCAGTGCGGTAACATGCGCGTGCTAGTTAGGTTGAAGGAATGCCACACGGTAGTTCCTGGTGCATGGGTCACCCTAATGTGATGCTCCCGGCCCGTGCTTGTGACCGGTCCCCGTGTGCGCGCGTTCCTTCTCGTGTGTGTGTGTTTGTGTGTGTCTGCGCCCATTACCACAGGCGCCTGCTGCCCCTGCTAGCCCCAAGTTCAAGCTGCCAGCCATGGCCGTGCCTGCTGCCCTCACAGGCACCGGCGCACCCAAGAGTGAAGGCAAGGAGACCAAGGCCAGCAGCAAGGACGCAGGCAAGGAGCAGGAGCAGGAGAAGGAGAAGGAGAAGGGTAACGGGACAGTGAAGCTGAGTCTCAAGGAGGCAGAGAGCCTCCTCTCGCTCTTCACCAAGCCCAGGGACGCGCCTGCAACGGAGGAGCCTGCACAATCCGCGTCTGACCCGGTAGCACGCGCCCAGGAGGCTGTGGCCAAGGCGCAGCAGCAGCTCGCGCAGTCCCTCTCCCTGGCCTCGCTGCCCTCCGCGTCTGGCACCACCAAGGGCGGCTCGCAGCGCGGCGCGACTGGGACCGTGCGGGGGGGAGTGCAGAAGAACGACGGGGTGAAGGCGGGCGTGCCAAGGGGCGGCACCAAGGTGATTGACAAGCGTGCGCAGCGCAAGAGCGTGGCGGGGAACGCGGCGCAGAGGCAGAGGCAGCAGCGCGCGCGCAAGGCGGAGGAGGGCGAGCAGGGGGGGATTGATCTGCTGGGGTCGTGGGTGCAGGGCATCCAGTCGTTTGACGGACAGCTGCCCTCTGGTCCAGTCAAGAAGCAGGCTCCTGCTCTCCAATGGCTGCAGTCACTGTGAGCTCCTGCTTCTGCTTCTGCTGCTGCTGCTGCTGCTGCTGCTGCTTCCTGCATTGCACTGCACTGCACTGTGTGCTTGTTGCCAGCCCCTCTCCTTGTAATCTGGCTCCCTCCACCGCATGTGTTATGCCTCCTCCTTCCCTCCTCCTCCTCCTTTCTCTACTGATTCCCAATGCCCATATGGTCGTTTTCCATCCCCCATGTCCCTGGGCGGCCCTCTGTCTGCACACCCCAGGCTACCACAGGAGGAGGAAGAGCCGGAGCCAGAGGAGCAGGGTCCCCTGGCAGCAGCACGGCGCCTCTTCTCCCCGGCACCCCCTCCCCCTCCAGCTCCTAAGCCCCCCACTGGCGCCGCTGCCATTGCCTCCTCTGCTGCTAATGCTGCCGCTGCTGCTGCCGTGGTCACGGCATCTGCTGCCGTGTCTGCAGTTGCCGGCCTTGCTCAGGTCGTCGCACCATCGTCCTCCTCTTCAACTGCTGCTCCTGCTGCTGCTGCTGCTGCTGCTGGAACAGACGCTTCCCCTGCTGCTGCTGGGTCTGCGACTGGAGAGGCGGAGAGTGGCAGCGAGGGGGGCATGCAGGGAATGAGGGCGCTGGCAGGCGCTGCAGCAGACGCACTCAAGGATGCGGTGGCGAGTGCTGCTGACATGGTCAAGGTTGAGAGTGTTGTGGAGCCTAAGGAGGAACCTGCAAAGCCCCCTGCTGCCACACCTGTCGCAGCTGCTGTTGCTGTTGCTGCCGCTGTCACTGCTGCCGTCCCTGCTATCTCTCCTGCAGCTGCTCCTGCCTCCGCTGCCACTCGTGCAGCTCCTGCTGCCGCTGCTGCTGCTCCCGCCGCTGCTGCTAAGGCTAGTAGCGCGAGTGTGGTAGCAGCAGTGAAAGAGGTGGTGAAGGAGAAGACTGCTGAGGAGATTGCTCGGGAAGAGGAGGAGAAGCGCAAGCAGGAGGAGGAGAGGAAGAAGGCAGAGGAGGAGAAGAGGATTCGTGATGAGGCAAGGAAGAAGGAGGAGGAGGAGAAGAAGAAGCGGGATGCAGAGGAAAGGAAGAAGCGGGAGGAGGAGCGGAAGGTGAGAGAGGCAGAGAGGAAGAAGCGGGAGGAGGAGAGGCGTGCAAGGATTGATGCTGAGTGGAAGGCTCGTCAGATGGAGAGGAAGCGCATGGAGGAGGAGGAGAAGAAGAGGCAGGATGCGAGGAGGCTGATGGAGAAGAGGAGGCAGGAGGAGGAGGCACTGAGGCTGGCCCAGCTGAGACAGCAGCAGGCAGAGGAGCGACGCAAGCAGGAAGAGGAGAGGCGTAAGCAGGAGGTGGAGAAGAAGAAGCAGGCAGAGGCGGCTAAGAAGGAAGCTGAGGAGAAGAAGAGGAAGGAGGAGGAGGAGAAGTGGGAGTTGGTGAGGAGGGCTCAAGAGGAGGCAATGCTGGCAGCGAGGAAGCTGGAGGAGCAGGAGAGAAAGCTCAAGGAGAGGCTGTCGTACCCACAGCCATCAAAGCCTGAGTCTGAGGGCGTGGTGTACGTCACAGGGTAAGGCCTTAGTGTGTGTGTGTGTGTGTGCGCGCGCGCGCGCGTGCGTGCATGCGTGCGTGCGCATGTGCTGGCGTGCGTGTGCATGTGTGTGCGCGTGTGCGCGCGTGCGCGTGCGGGAGCGCGTGTGTGTGTGTGTGCGCGCGCGTGCGTGCGTGTGTGTGTGTGTGTGTGCGTGCTGGAAACGAAGTGGGGAGTATTTCAACATGTGAGTGGTGTTGGGTCAAGTTGATGCTACCATGTTGCTGATTTGTGAGTGACTGCCATTTTTCCAACTAACCCCATCCTTCTGCCACACACTGATCTTCCCCTGTGTTGCCCTTACCCCGTCTTCCAGCAACACTACACCTGGCCGCTACTTCACTCTCAAACCCATGGCAGAACGCAAGAATCAGTAGGTGAAGGGATCACAATAATCTCCCTGCCAAATGGTGGTTTGGAGGTGGTGGTTTGTTTGTTTTTTTGGTGTGTGTTGTTTTTGGAAGTACTAGAAATGTAACAGTAATCAAACTTGACCAGTATAGTCTATGTAACTGCTTTTGTTTGACACATGATAGGCAATGTCATTAGGAAATACGGTTCGTGAGTAGAACTGAAAGAGATTTGTAAACAAAAAATTCCGATTTCAGCTTTTGGCGCGTATGACCTTAATTCCCAGCCTTGCCGCATCTTCCTCATCGCTCATCATTCGTGCGCTGTTTCCCGCCAATCGCCACATCCGTCCTTTCCCCCACCTCCATCCCTCTCCTTGCCTCCGCTTCTCCCCTCGCCTTGACCACTCTCGCGCCAGTCTCCTAAATCAAGGTCGTTTTGAATCCGAATTCCCCATCAGAACCACCACCAGTCGCTTCTCTCGCTGACCTCGATCGTTGGTTACTCGGCATCTTCGTTAGATCTCGCCTGACTTGATTTTCTCGTTCGCGCATCGGCCGACTCCTTGCAATGGATAGCAGCAGCGGCGCTCCCAACGAAGATCCCGACAAGCCGCACGCGACATCGGAGTCGTCGAGTAAATCCGCGGAGGAGGCTCTAGCGTCGTTGACGGTTGCTGGGTCGCAGGATAGCGGCAAGGCCTTAGCGTCTAGTTCAGGGGGGGATAAGGGCAAAGCCGTAGCCGCCGCAGCCGCCGCAGCCAAGCCCGCGGTCCCGGCGCCGCTCAGCGGGCCTCTCGCGCTCATGTCGCAGCTCATGGGCCAGCAGCCGCGCCGCCATCTCTTCTGGGAGACGCAACCCGTCGTCGGCGGCACTGACGGCGCGACTACCCAGGCAGGGCCGGCGGCGGGCAGCAGCAGCGAAGCTGGCGAAAGCGGAGCTGGCAGCAGCAGCAGCGGCGGCGGCGGCGGCGTCGTGGATGTGGCGGAGGGCCCGATCGAGCCGCCGACGCCGCTGGAGCAGGTCCGCGCTGAACCGTACGCGCTGCCAGCGGCGTACGAGTGGTGCACGTGCGACGTGGATAGCGACGCGGAGATGCGCGAGGTGTACGTGCTGTTGACGAATAACTACGTGGAGGACGATGACAACATGTTCCGATTCGACTACTCGCAGGAGTTCCTGCGCTGGGCGCTTAAACCCCCGGGATTCTACAAGTCGTGGCATGTCGGTGTGCGCGCGCGCCAGTCGCGCAAGCTCGTCGCGTTCATCACGGGGGTTCCCGCCACGGTGCGTCTCCGCGACAAGCTGGTCCGCCTGGCGGAGATCAACTTCCTCTGCGTGCACAAGAAGCTGCGCTCGAAGCGCCTCGCGCCTGTGCTGATTAAAGAGGTAACTCGGCGCGTGCACCTGCAAGGGATCTGGCAGGCCGTCTACACCGCAGGAGTGGTCCTGCCCACGCCGGTTACCACCGCGCAGTACTGGCACCGATCGCTAAACCCGAAGAAGTTAATCGACGTAGGGTTCTCGCGCCTCGCGCCGCGAATGACCATGTCGCGGACCATCAAGCTGTACCGGCTGCCGGACCAAACCGCGACGCCCGGGCTGCGCGCCATGGAGCGGCGCGACGTGCCGGCCGTGTGCCGGCTGCTGAAATCGTACCTCGCGCAGTTCGTAATCGCGCCCGAGCTGAGCGAAGCCGAGATAGAGCACCTGCTGCTGCCGATTAAAGACGTAATCGACTCGTTCGTGGTGGAGGACCCTAAGACGCACGAGCTGACGGATCTCGTCTCCTTCTACACGCTCCCGTCGACGATCATCGGGAACGAGAGCTACAGCAACCTGAAGGCGGCGTACTCATTCTACAACGTGGCGACGGCGACGCCGCTGCTGCAGCTGATGAACGACGCGCTCATCCTGGCGCGGCGGCGCGAGTACGACGTGTTCAACGCGCTCGACATCATGGAGAACGCCGCCTTCCTCAAGACGCTCAAGTTCGGCCCCGGGGACGGGCACCTGCACTACTACCTCTACAATTACCGCATGCACGGCCCGTTTCAACCTGCGAATCTCGGCCTCGTGCTGCTCTAACCGCTACCTCTGCTGCTCTCTGTGCCGTCCACGTGATGCTGCAGGCGTTGCTGTTTCCTCCCTGCTCGCCTCCCTCTGCCTCCCCCCATCCCCTTCCCACACCTCCCCTTCCCACACCTCCCCTTCCCACACCTCCCCTTCCCACACCTCCCCTTCCCACACCTCCCCTTCCCACACCTCCCCTTCCCACACCTCCCCTGTCCCTTTCTCCTATCCCCTGGCTACCCTTTCTTCCCCTCAACTCCTCTGGGCTGTGTGCATGACTTGGCGTGTGCATGCAGCAATGGGTGGCCCGTCATATCGTATGAGCCATTCAGTGTGCTGCCCTCCCACTGATCGTTCACTTGCGGTGTTAGCTCAGGTTCCAGTCACTACACCGCATAGTAGCTGTAGAAGGCTGTAGTGCTCTGGACTGCAGGGGTTGCAGACCAGGATTTTAGCTTTAGTGTGGTGGTTAGAGA